TATGAGACGAAGACTTTTTCGTGACGATGGACCTAGCAACACGGATTGGTTAAATGATCAAAACCATTAAGTTAGTTTGCTTGCCTTTCATTTCATTGTATTTTTTGTTTTGTTTAAAAAATTAGTGGTAATTCATGTATTTTATTTTATGAGTTGTATTGATTTTCTTTTAGTGAATAAAGAAAATATTCAACAAAATTCCTTTTTATTCAAAACATTCCATACATAAAAAGCAAACCACAACCAAAGCATAAAAAATAAACAAACTACAACTAAAGCATAAAAAAACAGCAAAGCATAACTAAAAATACAACATAAACATAATACATTAAAAAAAACATCTTCACTTTACTTCATTCACCTTCATTGCCTTTCACTGCCCACAAATGCTCCATCAAGTCAACTTGACCATGTTCATGAATATAAGACGATTGCATCTCCGTGTAATGCTCAATCATACGAGGTATGAAACTACCGTCTCTAACCAACGGATCATGCTGCACTGGTTCTCAATTTGGCCCCATGGGTTTTTCATAAATTCGTGTTAAGGCCATGTTCATGGGATCTGGTTCATACACTTCATCATCATCGTAATCATACTCATCTTCCACAATCATGTTGTTGAGGATGATACAAGTCATCATTATACTTCTAAGTACCTCCTCGTCAAATAGACGCGTTGCGCCCCTGATAATAGCCCGCCGGGCTTGAAGGATACCAAAGCACCTCTCCACATCTTTTCTATACCCCTCTTGATAGGCAGCAAAAAAAATTTCCTTATGGGATCTGGGATGTGGAATTGATTTCACAAATGTTGTCCACCTTGGGTAGATACCATCAGCTAGATAATACCCGTTTTGGTAGATGGTATTATTGATTTGATATGTGATATTTGGGCTTTCACCTCTCAGAACATCATTGAACACCAGGGATTGACCCAGGACGTTCAAATAGTTTTGAGAGCTGGCAACTCCAAAGAAGCATGCCAAACCCATGTATCAAAATCAGCAATTGCTTCGAGGATGATGCTTTTTTGCCCTTTCCGATTGCCATAATCCCCTTGCCAAGCAGTTGGACAATTTTTTCATTGCTAGTGTATGCAGTCAATGCTACCAATCATTCAAGGAAATTCACGAGACTCAGCTTTTTGTAGAAGCCGTTGCAGGTCCATGAGCGTAGATCTGCGCAGGTAGTCCCTCGTGTACAGATTTTCCACTGCATCACAAAATCGCACCAAGCTCATCCGGGAAATCTCATCCACCTGATCAGCAGATGACCCACACGCCAACATTCGTATCACAGCTGTGAACTTTTGCTCGGGAAGAAGCCCCAAATTTCCAGCACAATTTTTCTTTTGAACAAATTATTCATCATAATTACAAATATCATGCATGACTTTATTAAACAAATAGGGTTGCATTCTATATCTCACTCAAAAATGAACATCAGAGTATAGAGAATGTGGGATAAAATAATCTTCCTGAAGATTCTTATCCCGAGAATGTCTATGTCTGTCCACATTCGGGGCACGGCCTTCTCGTGAACCATGGCGGCTCTGGTTTTCTTCCTCCAGCAAAGCAACGGTCATGCCAAGTTGCTCATCTAGTTCTCTCTGCGCCCTTTTACTTGCAGCTCGTCGACGCATTCTTTCTCTTCTTTCTCACTCTTGCCTCTTCAAAACCTCTTGCATGTCTGCCATTGAAAATGGAGAATGAAATTTAAAATATGAGAAATGGAAATGTAGAGAAGATTTAGTATGGGAGGTATGAGCTGAGTCTATGGTTTTGTAGAAAAAAATTTAGACAGATAGATATGACACGTGGCACAATCTTAGAGGGTGAAAATTTTATCTGAAATTTGAAATTTAAATGAAATTTATCTGAAATTTGAATTTTGAAATGTATCTGAAATTTGACATTTTGAATTTATCTGAAATTTGAATTTTGAAATGTATCTGAAATTTATTTGAAATTTGAAACCGAAAATCTTATCTGATATGAATAGTATTGACACGTAAGAACTCAAAAATCTTATCCAAAAATATTATCTAAATTAATTGTTTAAGTAAACAAAGTTGTGAAAAAAACAAAAAAAATAAATAGTATTTATCATGGCAAGCCTAAAGTGCTGAAAACACACTTTGCTGGGGCTATGGCAGCTACTATTCACATGAATAGTAGCTGCCCTAGAGCTCCCTTGCCATGGCAAGGGGCTAACCGGTAGAAATGCTCTAAATATAAACTGGACTGCTGCTAATTAAACATAAAATGACCCAAGATTGAAGATGATTTACATATATTTAATTTATGTCCCTGAAACTCCAAACCCAAATGAACTTGACCTCAACAATATTCCGCTGCGCACCATATCCATATGGGAAGTCACATGACTGTGCAGCCTTGGGGATTTTCTTCACTGAAACAGTCAGAGCGGCCAACACAATAGTCAGTATTGCAGCTCCTGCCACCGCCATAACTGTCGTACACAGGCCTTCCATAGTAACCATCATACTGGATGTATGGGGCTACTCCACCATAGCCAGTCTGGCATGGCCCACCAGGATGCCCATGGTAACAATCCACACAGTACGCGTTCACGTTCACTGGAACAGGCGGAGGCCCAGGGTTTGGTGGGGGAGCTTTGGGTTTCTCAGGTGCAGATTTAGGCTTCTCGGGCTCTTTGGGCTTCTCTGGTGCAGGCTTAGGCTTCTCGGGCTCTTTGGGCTTCTCTGGTGCAGGCTTAGGCTTCTCGGGCTCTTTGGGCTTCTCTGATGCAGGTTTAGGCTTTTCTGGCTCCTTGGGTTTCTCTGCCGACGGTTTGGGTTTGTCTGCCGGCAGTGGTTTGGGCTTCTCAGGCTCTCTGATCTCAATGCTCTTGATGGCTCCCCCACCTTTGCAGCATATCCTGTCCCTTATCTTCTCTGGACTGCAGCATACCACTTTGATGACCACCTGGTTTTGCTTCTCGTCGTATATCTGGTCTCGTATTTCTCTTGTTCACAAAATCCAATTCCACAACACACACATTTACTCAGTTTAATTACGTTCTTTTTGGTTTTAACATGTCTATGTGACTATGTCTACGGAGGGAATTATACAAAGGAAAAGATAGAGAGACTCACGAGGGAATTTGCAGAGAACTTTTTTGACCTTCTTATAGCATTTGTGACACTGAAGGTCCACCTTCAGCACCATTATCGTCACCTGAAGTGAACCCATTTACAATTAGGGAACAATAAGCAAACTACAATTAAGAATTTCAGAAAAACAAACAAATAATAATATTATATACAAGAATCAAGATGGCTGCTGCTCCTGGACCTGCTGTGGTGCCCAAGAAGATGAGAAAGTAAGAAACTTTATGGATGGATGGTGGTTTGTAGACAAAAACAAGTGGAATGAGGTTCTGACTTGTGACAGGGAAGAATCATGATGAGTAAGTGACAAAATCAGGAACAAAACTCGGTGGAGTCTTGCAGATATTAAAAAATAGCAGCCACAAAACTTAAATAAGAGCTAGCTACGCCTGAGCCAGGCAAAATCATCAACTGGGTTTATCTAACTGAGCTGAACCACAACAAAAAGAAGAGGAAAACATAAACTTCACCAATTACCAACCTTTTCTTTTTCTGCCATTGCAGTGTGAGTGCGTCTCAGATCTGAAACTCAGCTGAAATGATTGAATGGGGCTGGAACTCACGGGACCAACTTGTATATATATATATATATATATATATATATATAATTATATTACAAAAATATATATAATTATATTAAAATATATATAAATTGAGGAATTCGGTAGAAGAGGGAGCAGAGAGGCACGTGAGTTGTTTAGTAGAGTTAGTTAGACGGCTGGATTGGTTACACAGTTAAGCTTTGCTTAATAGGTATAAAGTGTAATAGTGCTGGAGCTTAAAACAAATTAAGCAATACAGAAATCAAGATTTGCAATTTCTCTCTGTTTCTATTTCCTTCTTCTTCCTCAGATATCTTCTTCAGACTTCTCTGAATATGTTGGTTCACATGGTATCAGAGCCCTCAGTGGCTTTCACATAATCAATCGATCCGTTCTGCGATTTCTCTGTCTTTCAATCCACTCCTTTCCTCATTCTATGATTCTCTGATTTTCTTCTATATTTTCTCTATTTCCTCGCCCAAATCCAATTCTAGGGCTTCCTCTGATTTTCTTCCCTGTTTTCTCTCTGCTTCATCATGGCTTCTTCTTCCTCCATCAAGATTGATGTCCTACTCAATATGGTTATCATTTATCTTAGCGACAATAATTTCTTGAAGTGGAGTTTTCAATTGGAGTCTGTGTTGCAAGGGTATGAGCTTTTTGGGCATTTCGATGGCTCTATAGTTCAACCTCCAAAATTTGCAATCTTGGATGAAGAGGGTGTTACTTCTCAAGCCACTGTAGGTTACAAGGAATGTTGCAATATGTGAAATTCTTTCTACCTAATCCTCCTGTGGTGTATTGTGACAATCTATCTGCCCTAGCACTTAGCTCCAATCTTGTCTACCATTCCATGATCAAACATTTGGACATTGACTTTCATTTTGTGAGAGAGAAAGTTCAGAAGAAAGACTTACTTGTACAATATGTTCCTACAGAAGAGCAAGTGGCAGATGTATTCACAAAGGGATTACATAGTCCTATATTTCCACAACATTGTAATCATCTTCAATTAGGGAATGTAACAGGATAGGGAAAATGTTAACTATTGATATTAAACAGTTAGTAAGTCAGGTGTGCAAGGCACGTGAGTTGTTAGTAGAGTTAGTTAGACAGTTGGATTGGTTACACGGTTAAGCCTTGCTTAACATGTATAAAGTGTAATAGTGCTGGAGCTTAAAGCAGATTAAGCAATACATAAATCAAGATTTGCAATTTCTCTCTATTTCTATTCCCTTCTTCTTCTTCAGATATCTTCTTCAGACTTCTCTGAATATGTTGGTTCGTAAGAGAAGGAAAGGAGCAAGATTTGATCTGATTCAAGATGTTTATTATGAGTTTATAAATTGTGACAAAGTGCTTGCTAAGAAAGAGTGGAAAGATGTGAGCACAATGTATTTCGTACACAAAGGTCCAATGGGATGTGAACACGTAGTTATTGGAGGTTGATTTCATTTCATGGTATGATCATTGAAGCTGTTGTTATATGAGGGTAGTGATGGTGGTTTTCTTCGATCGCTAAAAGTTGCCAAGTTTTGCATTTGCATGTGCTGGCTTAAAGCTTTGATTCACCCACCTCACTCACCCTCCGACCTTTCCAACTTCCAAATATTATTTTAAAGTAAATATTCCACCAAAGTATAGTTATTTGCATCCTAATCTAGTCATAATTGAGTGCTTAGAACATCTCCAGGAAACTCTCCAAATTTTACCCCAATTCTAGCTAAAATAGCTAATTACTTAAAGTTTGGTTTCTCCAGCAATGCTTTTTATTTTAGCTAACCTCAAATATTTTATTATTTTAAATTTATTAAAAAATTAAAAGAAAAAAGAACCCAAAAGCTAATTGCCTGAACCCCACCGAACCTTTTTCTTGTCTTCTTTCTCTTTTCCTCTCTCTGTTCCAGCTTTTTCTTCTCTCTCTCTCTTTCCCCCTCTCTCTCTTGCGCAGATTTCAGTTGGCGAGCCTGAATTTCTCTCTCCCCATCACTACATGTAGCGATCCAAAATAGTGAAAGCTAAAATACCGAGAGAGGTAGCGAGGCAACTGGAGGGCAGTTTTTCCTTCTTTTTTGCTAAAATGGCTAGGGATAAGGGAGTAGCGATGCAGCTGGAGATGCTCTTAGAGCATCTACAATCACACTCTCTATTTTTTAGTTAAAATTTAGCTAAAACACACGAAAGTTATTTCAGGAGCTCTCTATAAAATTTCAACTTCAAGCATACTCTCTAATTTAGAGAGTTATAAATGCTATAATTATTATTATTTTTTTTTTTTGGTCTGAACCACGAGGTGGTCCTGGATGGGCTCCAACTATGGATGGCACCTTTAAGCCTTAACCACAACCCAGACTAATCCCCGTTCACACCGGGTCGGCCCGTAAGGAGTAAAGTGCTGGCCAAAGTGGTGACTCCATACGAGAGCAGGGATCGAACCCCTGACCTCTCTTAAGGAATGAGAGTGCCGAACCACTCACACCAACCACCTTGGTTCTATAATTATATTTTCATTCAATATAAATGGTCCATCTATATGAAATAATAATATAAAAATGGACAATATTTAAAGGTTTAAAAATTTTAAATGATATGAAATGAACAACTAACACACACATTAGGAAGTAATTAAAGAAAAAAGCATGTGCAGTGCAGCGGTTGTGCAATGGAAACTTGTTTATTATTGCATTGAAAATTGTAGCAGCAGCAACTTCATTCATCTTCATGTAATGTAGGTACAATGAATAATAACCTGATTGTGACTTAGTCCTCCACCACCAACAACCAACTTTATTGATCACTTTTCTTCTCCTATAAATATGAACAAAACCAACACCGACACTGGACTGCTGCTAATTAAACATAAAATGACCCAAGATTGAAGATGATTTACATATATTTAATTTTTGTCCCTGAAACTCCAAACCCAAATGAACTTGACCTCAACAATATTCCGCAGTGCACCATTTCCATATCCATATGGGAAGTCACATGACTGTGCAGCCTTGGGGATTTTCTTCACTGAAACAGTCAGAGCGGGCAACACAATAGTTAGTATTGTAGCTCCTGCCACCGCCATAACTGTCGTACACAGGCCTTCCATAGTAACCATCATACTGGATGTATGGGGCTGCTCCACCATAGCCAGTCTGGCATGGCCCACCAGGATGCCCATGGTAACAATCCATACAGCACGCGTTCACGTTAGGCGGTGGGTAGCCTATAGGTACATGCACAGGTGGAGCTGGAGGTGGAGGTTTGGGGTTCTCTGCCGGCGGAGGTTTGGGGTTGTCTGCCGGCGGTGGTTTGGGTTTCTCAGGTGCAGGTTTAGGCTTCTCGGGCTCTTTGGGCTTCTCTGGTGCAGGCTTGGGCTTTTCGGGCTCTTTAGGCTTCTCAGGCTCCTTGGGCTTCTCAGGTGCAGGTTTAGGCTTTTCTGGCTCCTTGGGTTTCTCTGCCTGCGGTTGTGGTTTCGGTGGCGGTGGTTTGGGCTTCTCAGGCTCTTTGATCTCAATGCTCTTGATGGCTCCCCCACCTTTGCAGCATATCCTGTCCCTGATCTTCTCTGGACTGCAGCATACCACTTTGATGATCACCTGGTTTTGCTTCTCGTCGTATGTCTGGTCTCGTATTTCTTTTGTTCACAAAATCCAATTCCACAACACACACATTTACTCAGTTTAATTACGTTCTTTTTGGTTTTAACATGTCTATGTGACTATGTCTACGGAGGGAATTATACACAGGAAAAGATAGAGAGACTCACGAGGGAATTTGCAGAGAACTTTTTTGACCTTCTTATAGCATTTGTGACACTGAAGGTCCACCTTCAGCACCATTGTCGTCACCTGAAGTGAACCCATTTACAATTAGGGGACAATAAGCACACTACAAGTAAGAATTTCAGAAAAACAAACAAATAATAATATTCTATACAAGAATCAAGATGGCTGCTGCTCCTGGACCTGCTGCGGTGCCCAAGAAGATGAGAAAGTAAGAAACTTTATGGATGGATGGTGGTTTGTAGACAAAAACAAGTGGAATGAGGTTCTGACTTGTGACAGGGAAGAATCATGATGAGTAAGTGACAAAATCAATAACAAAACTCGGTGGAGTCTTGGAGATAAAAAAAAATAAATAGCAGCCACAAAAGTTAAATAAGAGCTAGCTACGCCTGAGCCAGGCAAAATCATCAACTGGGTTTATCTAACTAAACTGAACCACAAAAACAAGAAGAGGAAAACATAAACTTTACCAATTACCAACCTTTTCTTTTTCTGCCATTGCAGTGTGAGTGCGTCTCAGATCTGAACCTCAACTGAAATGATTGAATGGGACTGGAACTCACGGGACCAACTTGTATATATACGTATAAATTGAGGAATTCGGTAGAAGAGAGAGCAGAGAGGAAGAAGGAGAGGAGCAAGATTTGATTTGATTCAAGATGTTTATTATGAGTTTGTAAATTATGACAAAGTGCTTGCTAAGAAAGAGTGGAAAGATGTGAGCACAAAGGTCCAATGGGATGTGAACACGTAGTTTTTGGAGGTTGATTTCATTTCATAGCATGATCATTGAAGTTGTCGTTATATGAGGGTAGTGATGGTGGCTTTCTTCGATCGCTAAAAGTTGCCAAGTTTTGTATTTGCATGTGCTGGCTTTGATTCACCCACCCCACCCTCCGAACTTTCCAACTTCCAAATATTATTTGAAGTACAGTTATTTGCATCCTAATATAATCATAATTGGTAGTCTTCGAGGGAGGGAGGGATCTGCCTGCCTCTGCCTGCCAACATTATTTCAATGAGACCCTCAAAGCAAAGCAAAGCGAAGTAAAATTATATTCTAAGCTACATACATATATGATAACGGTCAAGTCTCTCAAGTGCAATTATTGATGCACCATTGCATTGCATTGCATTGCACGGTTGCACCCCCACATGGCACATGGCACATGGAGATTCCTCCAGTTGTCTTTAGATCCAGTCCTCTACCTAGTAGGTGCCACCCATCTTGGACTAGTAAGAACCAAACTTCGATTCATTTTTCTCCTGTGGAGGATACATATCACCCATATGTCCAGTAATTCGATTTCAATCACGGGATCTCAGGTGCACAGGTATATTTATATTATATTCTCTGTAATGTTCTGGACGCAGGGATGTCATATGGATGATCCAAAATCAAAAACAGTGGGCTCCAGAAGAGAAAACCGTGGCTGGTTGCTCGGATAGCCGTTGAAATGTCCAAATTTCATACGCACGCAAGTGATTCAATCCGATTCGTCTTTTTTCTCTTAATTTATTGAGTGGCCCAATCTGTTAGTATAGCATATGAGAAAGTTAGCGAAGGCCAATAGCATATGAGCTAGCTTGCTTGATGGATGTGGTTGCAGAATGGCCTTCTTGGTTTGAGTTATAGACAACTAAGCTTGTACATGTCACGCATCACGATTGACATGTGTGCATGCTGACTACCGACTTGTCCAGTCTCAGAAGCTATCCATAATTTGAGCACTCAGTCTCAGAAGCTATCCATTATTTGCACTCTCAGACTCAGAAGCTATCCATAATGAATTTAACTGATTCAAAGTGTTTTGCTTGCTGTTTGGTTATTTTCCTAATTTTTCTGATCCGAATAAATAATATAATTATTATGGGAATTTTGTTGTCCCTTGCCTCTTTATGAAGCGCCTTCCATTTTAGCTTTGTCTCCTTGATTTGATTCTAAGAATTAAAAAAATTCATTATTTCAAATTGATGGCCTGCATTTATATATATGATAAAAGTGTTTTGAATTTGGTAGCTTGGTGGTTACAAGAGGACTATAGAAGCGAAAGGCCAATCCATCTGACGTCGTGCACAAAGAAAAACTTATCACGTAAGGTAAAGTCCTAGAGAGAGAGCAGACTCTCATATCTACAATTTAATAAATGTACCCTCCTCCTCTACCTACCAAAGAGGTAAACAGGGTTTTTGTGATAAGTCATAGTAAGTGGGGACAAAGATTAGGCAGCTTTTGGCTCCATGCATGCCTCACAAACTTTTCTGGTGCCGACAATTCTCACCAATAATCCTACGAAGAATGGCCTTAGCTGCTTCAACATGCCCAAAATTGGGCTGGGCCACCTGCTGCTCGCACTTCATACCCCAAACTTGTGCTAATCACTAGAGACCCACTGTGGAAAACCCATTGAGAGTTGGGTTGGGGCGGGTCCAACATTTGAAAACAGAAGGTAAAGTGAAAGTAGGAATGACAAAGCCCATACAAGCTTTATTGGGTAGGGATAATATATCAAACTCATGATCTCAGTGCATCGATAAATGTTCTTAATCACTTAAGTTAAAATTCAATTGCAATGAACATTTATGTTTATTGGTGTGTTGTTCATAATTGCTCTTCATACATGAAAGTTAGCAATACTCCCCATATATATATCCTCGCTCTTTAAATCTTGTGCCATTTGAACTCTGGTATCTCTGTAAGCTGAACTACCAAAAAGGGAAAGCCCAAAAAGTTGACTTTGGGGTTGATTTTGGGTGTGTTTCTATGTTTAAATAGTGCTTGGGTTTTTTTATAATTTCAACCTGCATTTTGGGTGTTTTAGTGAAACTCCCAAAAAAAAAAAAAGGAGAATTCCATTCAATTCACCCCAAGGGAAAAGAGTTAAGCAAGTAAAATATCTTCCCGACCCGCCACAAGTCCAACTCAAAGGCATACGTAGCTAGGGCAATTGGGTAATGGAGCCTACCAACAACCTGTAAAGTCTGGGCTTAGCATGTATTAGTATATATGGGTAGATGAAGGAGTTATTGGGTTTCTGTATGGTCAAGTTTCGGCTTAAATGGCCTCCCCTTGTTTTTTTTAAAATAATTATTTATTTGTTGGGCGTGTTCGGAGGGAGGGGAGTCATCTTTCAAGTTGCAAGCAAGTACAAGGACCACGGCCACCACTTGTCAATTTAGGAATGGTGAATTATCACGAGCTTTTGCTTTCGGGATTCTAATATCACAATCAGCTTTTGATCCATACACTTTCTCTTGGCTTATTTCCCGTCTCCTGTTTGATGCATGTTGAGCCTACGTTTGGGCATAGGCGCACATATTACAGACAGCAAGCCACGTACTAATCATCCAATTCCTATTACTAATAACGTCGAGTCATGCATATTTACCTAGGCTCAATGATCAATCATTAATTCCTGATTGTTAGGCGCTTAATTCGTTAATCACATAAAGAGCTGATTGTACGAGTGCTTCTTCTTCAGCTAGTGATCCAATCCAACCAAGCTTTGCCCCATTGTCCAGGCTCCAGCCATTACTTTGAGTGCTAAACGTTTACGTGCCGATGAGACACATTTAATAGAATTGTGAGTGTAATGTACTAATGTGTATGATTGATTGGGTGCCGTTAGGTAAAGACAAGAAACCCTCCAAATAGTAAATACCAATCACCTCCTTTTCCTTTCTTTTATTTTCTTTGTTTTGATTGGTTGTTGGTTACTAACTTACAAGGCTAGTCTCACTCATGGCATGGAATGGATGATGGACGGCCTCACCTCAGTCAAGAGAAAGTTATGGATGACGATCATGCTTATCAATGCAATACCACAAGTTACAGACGCATGCATGCAGAAACACACAGACACTCGCAAACAGACAAAAGAAAAGACCCTAGTCATCATCAGTCTCTCTCTGAGTGAGTGGTTTTCCTGAGATGGGTCCCACTGGATTCCACCATCAAAGCAAAGAGAAAGTGAGAGAGCCTCTGCCCTTTACAGATGCTGATCCTGATGATATGATTCTTCTTTGTTTCCCAGGCCAACGACCCTGAATGTCACTTGGGCTCCTTCCCTCCATCCATCCTCTACTATTATTAGTATTCACATATAATAATATACTGTCAGTGACTTGCGTGAGTTGTGACAGCCTTATTTCCCTGCTCCACATATAATATACTTGGTTCTTTTTTCTTTTCCTCCCCAGGAATCACATACTGGTTTTTTCTTTTGTCTTCCTTGTAAAATAAATAATTAGCTGTCTTAATTAGGCTGTTAAGTAATAAAGTGAGTGTGGTATGATAAATGTGGGCTGGGCTGTTTTGGGTTAACCATTCGATTATTGTTGAAAACCATAATCTGACTGATATTGATGAGATGTTTGGAAAAACTTTTTGTTAGCTAGTAGTGTAGGAGGAGAATCTTACCTTACCTTATCATCAGAATTCAGAGTTTAGCCTCATCCTTTGCCTTTTCGACCGTCTAAACATCTCATCAATATCAAAGCAATAATTAATATATAACATACAGCAAAAGCTATAAAGTACAGCTAGCTAGCTTTCCTGTTTTGTCTTTTGTCTAAGTAAGGTTTTCTGCTTTTTAATTAAAGTTAAACCTTTTCATAAGAAATCATATCGTATGTTTGTAATGTATTCATTAAATTGCCTTTTTGGCGTAGAAAATGATCGAATTGAATCAACATTTTTAATTTGACAATGAATTAAAATGATCGAATTTTATTCCTCACCAAGGAATTGAATTGAATGAATGACATTTTATATGTAAACATTCAATACTTTCTTACCATCGTTCCCTTTTTGTCCGGGTAAAATGATTTTTGTCCCCACCCTGCCTTTAATACGAACAGTACCATGAAGACACCCACCACCATGCAACTCATTTTGAAGGAAAGCAGGGGCAATTTGGCAGAAGCTGAGTCAGCAAGGACGGTAATCTAGTCTCTGCATTAAACAATTCCACGTCAGATATGTAGAATTCTCACGTAACTTAAATGTCCTTTAGCTTCCCTCCTTCCCCACCCACACCACACCCCAAACATTAAACAATTCCACGTCAGATATGTAGAATTCTCACGTAACTTAAATGTCCTTTAGCTTCCCTCCTTCCCCACCCACACCACACCCCAAAAGACCCCAAAGGGGGGAGAGAGAGAGAGAGAGAGAGAGAGAGATTGAAGAGCTAGAGAGAGGAGTGAGAAAGCTAATTAAAACCAAAGAGTGAAGTGAACTGTGAATACAATACTCTACTCCACTCTACTCTTCATTATATTTTGGGTGCTAGCTGCAGATTGCACAACAAGTTTAGTCACCAAAGAAATGGGTGAAGTAAGTATTTCTTTTCTCCCAACACTAACATATATATACACTTCTTTGTATCGTTAATCGATAACACCAGTAGTGTGTGTTTGAGATCTTGATCTACCACTTCTTCAATCGTGCTTTCATTTCATGGATCTTCTCTTTGGGTCTGCAAACTCGACCCTTTTGATGTGCTGCTTCCGACTGTTTCTTGTGTAATAGTATTTACACATTATTACTTTCTGTAGCTTCATGTAAAAATGGCATTTAATTGATTTTTAATATTTTCTGTGTGGAAACCAATTAAAGGAGAAGAAAGAGGAGAAGAAGGAGGAAGAAAAGAAGAAAGAAGGCAAAGACGAAAAGAAAGAAGAAGAGAAAAAGGAAGAAAAGAAAGAAGAAGAGCCTCCGGAGATTCTACTCAAGGTCGATATGCATTGTGAAGCTTGCGCAAGGAAAGTTGCTAGAGCCTTGAAGGGTTTTGAAGGTAACTATTTCTTTTTTCTATATTTTTACCTTTCATAGAAT